CTACACATAGTTATTTGCTCTCATACATATGTTAAAGAAAAAAAAAATTTACTACAGTGTGTTTTGGGACTTTGAATGTTTACAAGGTCTGCAATACTGACAAGCACCTTTTAGATTCCCAATTATGATTTGGCTTTCATGTAAAAAACAAAACAAAACAAAAAAAACCACAACCCAACAAACTGCTAAATATGCAACAGTCAGTGAAGATAAACCCTTTGATACCAGTAGCGGTAGGTACAGCTAACAGATTAGCATCCAATTAATACATACAATCAAAACATCATCTACACAAAATCTGTAAAAGCAATCAATACTGCAGTCATACTGCTAAGAAGAAATTCCTCTCTAGGTGCAAGATGAACACTGAAGTTAAAATACAAAAAGCCTGCTTACTGCTAAAAACGTATGAAATTCTGTGAGCAGACGTGTTAATAGAGTTCAGACACTGCATTTGCATAATTTTTAGCCTTCATTTTAGTCATATTGCTCCCTTCTATGTGTACTTCTATATTCTGATAATGGCATTTAAGTTTGCTCACATAAAAATTTAAAGATATAATCTATTCAAGACTCTTGCCTCCCACCTCAAACTACATTGCTAGCCATATGTACTGCAGAAAAGCCACACAGAGGATGAAATTGTAGACTTTGGTGGCTAAGGTAAGCATGAATACTCATATAAAAGGTAAGAATAAAGTTGATCTAATTTTATCAACCTTCCCGCATTATAGTTGCCATACCTGTTTAAGTACAGAAAGCAATAATCTAAATATTTGTCAAAATGATTGCTCAAATTAGAAAGCATTTACAGGATTGTGCTCACAGGGCCTCTTTCCACTTTTACTCCAGAAAACAGCGATAGCTCGATCCAATTCCAATGCACACACACTGCTAGCTGCACATACCTGTTGCCCCACCGTACACTCTCCATGCACACCGACCCCCTACAATTGTTGGCTTGAACTTATTAATGAAAAGAACACTCAACCCAATATAATTATTTTTGCATATATTTAACTAGACAGAGAGTTGGGCATGATTTCAAATCAACAAGTCACTGAAAACTTAAGGTCAATACTAGCATTCCTTATTTTCCTCAAAGAGTAACTAAAACTTACACAACAGGAAAATTTTTCACAATGAGAACAATCAGCCACTGGAAAAATCTCCCCTGGGAAGTGGTGGGTTCCCCAACATTGGACAATTTGAAGATTCAGCTGGACAGCCTGATGGGCCATCTTGTCTAGACCGTGCTTTTGCCAAGAAAGGTTGGACCAGATGATCCTTGAGGTCCCTTCCAACCTGGTATTCTATGGTTCCATACATCTGGCTTTTTTGTTCTCATGTGCCCCTGCTTGCAGAGGTTCATACAAACCTCTGCATACAAGAGGTTCGTAACAATCGTACAAAATACATCTAATAGAATCACAATAGCAACTTAGCTCTCATTCATCAAAATATTCCTGTCCTGGTAGACCTGCAGCACATTCCTTGTACTCCACTGATCTTCCTAACAATGCTCATTAAACTCACTCTTAAAATATTAATATTGGAAAAGAATCATTGTAATATTTTAAAGATCTGCAAAACATGCAATCAGTCCTTAAAGAAAATTCACATAATAAATGCTCCCTAAAAAGCATTAAGTGCATACATTCCTTCTGTTTCAAGGAAGCAATATAAAAACTGTGTAGTGTTTATTTAAATAAAGTCACACATTATGGGCTTACTTCCCTGCCCCCCAAACAATTAATGTTTTATCAGCTCTGCAATGTCTGATCTCTCTCCAAGTCAGATAGGAGATCAGAGGATTTAACCTGTTACCCTTAAAAAATCACATATAAAATACTGCATAAAATATATATCTATGAATCCCATGTAAACCATGCTTAATAAAGCACAAATATTTATTGTAAAGCATAATAGACTGTTAGGAAAATAAAGAACTTGAGATCTCTTTGTTGTTTCTGTTCACTTCTAGTGATAACAAAGATATCAAATTCTGGAAGTCTACCAAACAGTTACATTTTATTATGAACACGTATGATTTAAGTACTGCCAATAAATTCTGCATACTTAGTTATGGTTGACATTTATGATGTTACTTAAAGAATAATAAATGCCTTAACTTGAAATATGCACGTGCCTTTAGGAAGTGAGCAGAGTAGTAACGGAAGCATTTAGTAACTTGCATAAGAACAAATATCTTCTATCATCTAGAAAGGTTAATGAAACAACATTGTACTGCAGATAAATGTGACAGAAAGAGCACCTACTATCCCAGAAGGGAACAGAGGAAGTAAATTATTATACAATATTCCCTACATATCTGAACTGCTAGTACAGTATTTTAATGTTTCTTTCATAGTATCTTTCATTAGATAACTTGAAACTTACTGAATGAGTTACTTCTGAAGCCTGTTACAACATACTTGTATTTTAACCTTTTATGCAAAAACAATTACCGCTGTATTATTCTATTGTGCAAATGCAGAGAAAGAAATGCTTGAAAACTACTCCACCATTTCAGATTTACCTCGTATTTCCTCAGACCTATTTGACAGTCAATCACAAGAAGTGCATTACGGAACACATGGCAAAGCAAAATTAGAAAATTTCATTTAGTATCCATGAACTTCAGCCACAACAGTTGTAGATGGGGGATTCTGCAGCAACAATCACTTCCCAGAAACTGTTCACTTGCACGTTTATTAAATACACTCCCCTCTATTCTCCCTCCTATAACGGCCGATAATCCACTTGCAGCAGCCTCGGGCCAGTTCCAGTGGCAGCACAACTCGCTGTTCCTGCAGTTCACGTGCAAGTCCCCAAATAAAAACAAACTCCCCCCACTCGGGGGTTTGCGCTACAAAAAAAAACCCAAGACTCATTGAAAAAGTTTTCCGGGAGGTAGAAACCAACAGAGTTCCATTCAAGAAAACTGAGCGTTTCGGGCATCCCTCCAGACTCTACTGAACAGCTCTCTCTTCAGTAAAAAAGAAGCTTCTTAAATCCCATCAACCCAAGCCCAGTGTTAACTTATACGGAGCGAGGAAGAGAGGATGAGAAGGATAGAGAAACAAGAGACAGTAATCTGCAGAAGGACAGCTGCCACTCAAACAACGCCAACATTTGATAAATAACAGCCCTCAAAACCTGATCTTTTTTTTTTTTTAGCACTTGGCAATCATTTTGTCGATAGAAAGCAGGAAGAACCAGGAGCGCCGAGCCGCTAAAAAGCTGTGGCTTCTTTCTCTCGTAAAGTCTGCCAGAAGCGAAGGAGGTGGTGGGCTTTGGGAAAGAAACAATCAAAATAACAAGGTAGCCAGTAGCTAAAGATGTTTGAGGTTTTGTTTTAATCAATAAAAACTACTTTTTAATATTTAAGATCGTATGGAAAGCGAACGAGCCTTCTGTCCTTTAGCAAAGACATGATTATGATTTAGCTTCTATACAGACATAAAGGAGCACATCGATTCTGCAGAACCGAGTTGAGAAACCCGCTAAGGGACTAACGCTTTCCTCCATTCCTCTAACAGGAGTTTGACAGTTAGCAGACATCCAACACAGACATATACAGCAGTTAGGAAAAGTGAGCGGCGCCCATTCCTCAGAAAGTTTCTCCCTCCAGTTTCGGAGAAACCTACCTGCTCTCTGGAAATGCAAGGCAACGAGGGTCTCCTAAACATTTTGCAGCTGCCATAGTAGCTGGCCGAAGTTTCCCCTAAGGACACGCAGCTAGATCTCCTCCTGGGTCTGATCACAGGCACTTTCTCCTCCGCGCTGGGGAGCCGTGGGTGGTGATGATGCTGGTGGTGCGCTCCTCGGCTCTGAGCTGAGAAGATGCCGCGCTCCCCGCCACAGAGTGCCAGGAGGCAGCCTGCCACCCCGACCGAGCCGGCCAGCAGCGGTCTGAGCGCCGGGGGCAGCGAGGGAAGGCTGGTGAGCGACACCAGCCACACCAGGCTGGAGAACGCCAAGACGAGGAGGCTCCGGCGCAACTTCAGGGAGCTCTGCAGCAGGGCCAACGCTGCCACGGCGCCCAGCACTGTCAGGAGCCTGCCCAGGACCATCCGCGGCTCCTCTTCGTGCCCCTCCGCGGGCAGCAGCCACCGCAGCGCGACGAAGTCGCCCGAGTAGCAGCAGACGGGAAGAGCCAGCAGCCACCAGCGGGTCGTGCCGCCGCCGTGCTCCCCGCGCCGGCCGCCGGCCAGGGAGCAGGTGAGGAAGAAGAAGGCACAGGCGATGCTGAAAAGGGGGCTGAGGCAGCGAGCCAGGCACAGCAAGGCGTGCAGCGGCCGGGGGCTCCGCCAGCCGCTCCCGTCCTGCTGGCCCCCGGCGCTGCCCCGGCCGCGAAAGGCCAGGAGCGAGAGGACAACGGCGGCCAGGACGCCCAGGCTGAGCAGAGCCCGGGAGGAGGCGGCGGCAGGGAACAGCAGCAGGGAGAGGAAGCTCTTCGGGGGGTCCTGCCGCAGGGGGGTCGCGCAGCCCTTCACGTAGCCGTTCCGCAGGCTCTCCGGGCTGCCGCCGCCGCCGGCGGGGAGCGCCGGGGGGGCAGCCGACCCGCCGCCCTCCAGCTGCTGGCAGTGCGGCGGGGGCTTGCCGGAGCCGAGGCCGGGCCGGGAGGCGGCCCCGGCGGCTTCTCGCTCTTCCCTCATGGTGGTCGGGGACGCGGGAGGGGGGAGGACGGGGGAGAGTCGCGGGTCGCGCTAGCTCCGGCCCGGCCGCGCCTCCCTCATCTCCTCAGGGGAAAGGCGCCGGGCTGAGGCAGTGGCGTCCGCAGCATGCTGGGTGAAGACGGGGAAAGAGAGAAAAGGTAAAAGTCTCGCTCGCCCGCTCGCTCTCTCGCTCTCCCCGAACGGATCCCGGCGGCAGCGGGGACTCGCTGTCGCCTCCCAGCGCTCAGCGGCGGCGGCTGGCGGGGCCACGGCGGGGGCGGGAGCGGGGCGAAGAGCGGCCCCCCTCACCCTCACCGCCCGCCCTGGCGCCGCTGCACACGGCGCGCGCGCGGAAGCCCCTGCGGCGGCACGCGCCCCGGGAGCGGTTGCGCGCTAACTGCCACGCGCTAACGGCCGCGCGGCCGCGGGGGCGGAGGAGCGAGGGGGGGCGGAAGGCGCGCTCGCGCTCCACGCCCGGCGCGAGCCGCCCGCTCCTTCCCGCCACCCGCCCTGAGGTGGCGGAACGTCGGTCCCCGCCCGCACCAAACGGAGCTGTGTAAGCGTTTAGACAGACGCGTACGTGGGTATCCCGCGCGACGGGCGGCCGCCCCCACGGGGGGGCGTGGGGGGAGCGGCCGGGGCCCGGCGAGTCCGGGCGGCCGCGCGGCGCTGGGAGCGGCCCTCTGGCCAAGGTATTTAGGGACAGAAACGCTGAGCTGGTCTAACTTTCTTTTTTATCTCGTCTTTTTGCTTTGAGATACCGCGGAAAAGTTGCTAGTGCGGGCTGTAAAGCACACAAAGGGTACCGAAGTATTTTCCCTTTAAGGACCATCCATCTCTTTTTTTCCTTTTTTCTTAACTCCTGAAAAGTAAGTATGGATTGGAGTAATTTTCTACACTTGTTTTTTTTTTTTTTTTTTCAGTCTTTGTCAACTAAATTACAGATTAGACTGTATTGCTCGACCGGGTTTGATTATTTGCACAGCTAATCCCTTTGGAATGGATCAAAACAATCATTTCGGACCAGCCTGTTAAAATTGTTTAGACTGCTGTAAGTGAAAACAGGCATCTAATAGGATTTTGAGTAATGCCTTTGCTCGTTCATCCTGTCCGTTTGTTTCGAAGCAGAGTAACTGTTTAGTACTTTTGCAATTATGATTACAACCGTGCGTTTTTACCTCGCTACTTAAAATAAATGTCCTTTGAGCCATGTCTCCACATAGTACTATACTGCTTTACTTAAACTGGTTTAGAAGTCGGATCAGGTAAGTCGGTGATTGCGCTTTTCCCTTGCTTATAGGAACAAGGAATTCTTGAAATGACTCGGTGTCATTGCTTGTGATTTGCCGCATTTGAATTCCCTCAAGTAGCAGTTGCTGTGGGGAGGCTGTGCTGCTGCAGGATACTGGCCTAAAGGTTGACACTATGCAGAAATCTCCCAGGGCGATTACTGATAAAAAATACAATATGCAGTGACAAACAAAGTAACTTTCGTATGTAACAAGATGGAAATAAGTAATGTTTTCAGAAGGCAGATCAAATTGATGGAATTTTAATACCGCCGTACACCTTCCTCCATTAGAAATATTCCTACACCCTTTCACAAAAAAGAAAAATAAATTCTGTCCTGATTTGGTACCAGTATGATGGCAGAGAATCCGTGTTAAAAAGCTTTGAAAAGAGAAAATGTGAAGTTCCTTTGGGGATTCTTACATTTACTGCTATTCGTATGTTAATGATATCAGTTGGACCACAATCAAGTGTATATGTAAATGTTTTTAAGGCTGTGAGATGTGTCTTGCTATTATCTTTTATTTTTTGATTCCCTTGAATTCAGTCATAAATAAATGCATTTGAGAAATTATTAGATAGTGTTGTCTTCATTAAAACATCATATTTGAGTATGTATGTTTGTAGCAGTGGACACAAGACTGTAGTACCTAAGAAGGAAGAGTACAGAGATGGGACATCATGTGATCCCTTATTATCTATCCTGAATGCAACAATCTGTGGCTTCAGCACTTTCTGAATCAGAAGTAGTGTCTTATTTTTAACAGTTCTCAGTATATTTTTATTCTACACATTTGCCCAATCATTTCTTTAAACTCCACGTAGGTTTTTGGCACCCTCAGTGTACTACAGGAAGAAGTTCTTGCTCGGTGCAACTTGACTATGCATTGTGTGAAATGTTTGGTTTTTTTAAAGTTTCCTATCTGTCTTAGTTGTTGTTATTCTCATTTTGGTAGAAACAATGAACAGTTGCTCTGTAGTCACCTTCTGTCTTCAACTCATCATTTTATATTTTTCCTCTGCCTTGTATTTTCCAAGCTGAAGAGTTTTAATCCATTTTATTTTTTCATGTTACTAGTAATCTTTCTTTTTTATTTTTTTTATTTTTTGAGCACTACTATGTGCTTTTGGAGAGAGGAGACCCGGAGTTACACACAGTATTCAAGACAAAAAAGCAGTCAAAAGAATGGTTTTCATGTCATTATCGAGTTCTTTCCTTATAATTCCTGTAATTTATTTGTTTTTCTATGTCAGGGAAGTGAGAAAGCAAATAAACTGAGCATTGTTGAATGTTGTTCTGCTGAACATTGAATAAACATTGAACATTGTTTTCATGGCATTAACTATATAGATCCCAGGATCTATTTTCTGATTGTTAACACCTACATCCACTAGACAGTTTTATAGGTAAGGATAGGATTTTTTCCTGTGTTTACATAATGGTTACCTACATTAAATGTCACCTGCGTATGCACTCAGAAGCTGTATGCTGATTCCCTCAGCGAGCTCTGTTTTTACTATCCTCAGTAACTTAGTATCAACAGCATACTTCACCACCTTACTACTTATTTGTCTTCATATCATTTATCATGAATTATTTAGCTTTTATTTCAGTGGTATGTCTGTGCAAAAACACCCTGGAGAAGTGTATACACAATTGATTGCAAAATGTAACGGCAATATGGTTGTTCTCTAGTAGCATCTCTGTCGCCTAACAATACTCTTCCTAGCATATTTCAGGCCCTTGTCCTGATGAGTTTGCAATCTAATAATGAATAATTTCAGTATAAAGAAAATTTGGTTTGAGTAGTTTAGCACCTATCATAAATTAGAAGAGCGTTAACTAAATTTCTGTTTGGAACAGAATAATTTTTAGAATAAACAAATACCCTTTCATTTACTATTCCTTAAATAAATATAGAAAAATATAAAGTGTTTCATTTAAATTGGAATGATGAAACTAATTTCAGGGTAAATGTAATTCCTTTGTCATCTTCCAGTTTCGCTACCAAAAGAAGATAGGTAGCTTAGTGATCTTGGTTGATTCACAAGGTACCGTACAATAGAATACCTGCATCTGTATAGCAGTGGCTATTGATCCTACGGCCTAGACATACAAACAAATGTCTTCAGTTGCTCTTTGGTAAGTTTCGAAATGCAAATTTGGTTATAATATTTCAAAATACTGAGTTATATTTTTAATTGTCTGCTCTCTGTTCCAAAACAGAATAACTAGGAAGAACAGAGAATATAGCCATGACTGCCTTCACTCAAGGCTGTAATCTTGACATCTTCTTCAGCCTGTTTCTCTCCTTTGACCCACACATCCAGAACATGGCTAAATCTTACCACATCCACTTGAATAATTCTAGGTTTCAATCATTCCCTTCTGTTTGCACTGTCCAATTTTATTATTTTTTTTCTGTCCATGCCCTGGCTATTGTGTGCCTTGTAATCTTGGCATGCACAGGGATCAGCTCTGTTCAAAATTGCTGTGGTTTTCAACTCAAAGTACCTTTGGCGTCTCCTGTTCTTCAGACAAATCAGATACAAACATTTGATTATTCCTTCCTAATTTAGTGCTGCGCTTCTGATCACTTTCTCACCATGTGGACAACTTTGGCATCTGTTTAATAACTTTGGACACAGGTGCTGAGCTCTTCACTTCAGAAAACCATTTTGTGCTTCCCCTTCTATCAGCACAGAAAGGTAATGAAATTCTAGGAAGTCCTCTTTAAAGTTTCTCTTCAAGCCTTCCATACTGTGTTCCTCAAAGTAATAATAATTAGATATCATTATTCGTGTATTTAATTGTACCTCGACTGTAATCCTTGCCATTTTTACACGGGGAAAGAGATTAACAGTACAGTGCCTAACTTGGAAACTTTCATAGGGTAATCTTTCAGGAAATTGAGACACCTCAATGCTTTCTAGATTCTCCTTTTTGTGTATTTCTATGACAAAATTGTCTCTGATATGGTTGGCAGCTTTCTTGAGGACTGAACTTTATCTTGGCCAAAATGCACCTGTTCTATTTGAGCTCTTCTATTTGAGATTCATTTTTAATAATGGACTTAGAGGTAATCAAGTTCTTTAAACAAACTAAACTTTGAAATTGGAAACAAAAGAAATTTAAAGCAGCTATGTGGTTTAAATAGCTTGGCTTTCTAATCGTAATCTGGGATCATTTGCATAGAAATTCTTGTGTATGACTGAAGAATGGGTAAATTGATACTTTGTTGAGGGAACAATATCCTACTACCTGACTACTGGGGTAGAGTGTATGTTTAAAAAAAAAAGTGGGAACAGAGTACATATCTTGTGTTGGAGCTCAGAGTTAGTAAGTTACTGCATTTGCTGTTTTCATTCATATCCATGAGAAAGTTTATGCCTGACTACCATGTTTGTCACTGTTTTTTCTTTGAATATTGCAACTTGAAAAATTAATTTGTAAATTAATACACAGTTAAGATGATGCAGGCAATAACTGTCTATGCGTACCTCAACTTTGTTATCAGTTTTACATCAGATGCTTGAATAAATAAAGAAATTACATTATTACAGCCATAATCAGTTAACCAAAAAGCCCCAACAAACAAAATAAATTTACACCTCCAGAAAGCCCATACAAGTGTAGTTCACCTAGAGAAATCAAAAGTCTTAACCAAACTTGAATGAATGTTTGGAGAAACACCAGCATTATCCATTATCTTTCTAAGTTTGTATTGTGGCAAACACTGTGGCTGCTGTTTGGTAAACTGTAGAAACATGTGCTGCAGCTAGCAACTAGAGCTACTTGGGTGATCTCATATTTATCTGCGTGTAACGTGCTGGCCTCTAAAAGGCTGTGATACCAGCTGCTGAGGTGTTTGTACATCTTCAGCGCTAAAGGCCTGGGGAGGTCTGCAGTGGTGCACAGGCAGCCAGGCATAATGGAAACAAGCGACTGAAGGATATGTAGTTATTAAGGGAATTGAAAAAATACAGGTAAAAGAGGCTGCTGGTGCAAGCGTACTCATGACGCATGATGTCAGTATACTTGCAATAAGGTGGTGTTAATGTAGTTGTCATGTCTAAGGGTGGGAAAGAGAGGTCCAGCTGCATTCCACATTAAGCAAAGCAGTCAGTTTCAAAGGTGGGTCGTGGCGTTTTGACCTTCATCAGGCAGCAGCAAAGACCAAGTTACTAGAAATTACATCTTTTAGTTTAATTTGTCAAAACTAGGTACATGGCAAAGTAAACCAGAAAGAGGGAGTGGAAAAAAGTTGTTCCTTGTATGATAAGATGTCTCTAGTGGCTATAGCACTTGTCAGTTTAAAAAGTGTGGATGACAGCACTAGAAAGATAGAGTTGCTATGGTATGCCATCGTTAGGTGAGATTTCTCATTTCTGGCAAAGGAAGATACTGGTGTGATGATCCAGGATGTAGCTCAGCAGTCGCAAACTTTGAGGAACAGTGAGTAGCAGAAATACTGTATCGACCTAATTAAACATCATGTCTTTAGAAAAAAAACAGAAGGGCATAAATCTTTATCTAGTCTCTCAAGTTTATTCTGGTGCCCATATTTTTGTTTTTATG